CCATTTGTTTGTTTTTCTCTTCTTTTATTTATTCTCCTACTGACTATAGTGGCTCCTGGGTTTACCAATACATAGCGGCGACTACTAGAACGGCTTCGCTGCTTTTATTTCTTACAGATCGACGAGAAAATTGGAGTGTTCCCCGTCGCTGTTTTCCCTCCCCTTCCTAAACCCCCGCTGGAGGGCCTTGACTCTGTTTACCAGGTGACATGTTTTGCCATATTACGGAGCCGTCACGCCCTGCATCTATAACTAAAGAGATCTAGATCATGCATTGCCTACTCTATCGACAAGCCGGGGGAATATATGTGTAATTTTGTCTGCACTCTATCTATATCATTCGCGCGTCCTAGTGCCGGGTAGGCTAGATAAAGCGAGGCATGCATGGATTCCTCCACTAGTCGACACATGCCTGGGATAGGAGAAGGGGGGGACAGAGTGTGTGGGTGTTGTAGGCATGCTTCGCGGCCTTACATACCGTCCCTCTCCCCCTCCGTTGACTCCGGTATATCGCGATTTGCTCAACATAACGAGTCAGTTAGTTCAGTCACTGTTGGCCAAGATTGGATCCCGGATCACTTGGGTCGACTGGGTAGAGCCACACACACCACACACAAACATGCATACACGAGAAAGAGCTCGCCCGCTCTCCTTCGTAGGTGCATGGCGCCGTTCACGGCAAAGAGCGGAGTGCAGAGTGGGACATTTGGAAGCCCGTCCATGACCCTACAGTAGTGAAGCCGATCAAAACGGAGAGACGCAGGCAGAACAGCGAAGATTCGATGGGGGGGATGGAGATGGGGGAAAACAAGGCAGTGTCACTCAATGATAATACTTTGCACCCTTGCCTGAGACCATCCCTCCTACTCGCTGACCGCCCCCCTAACCCACAGACAACACGACGGTGTTGGGTAGAAACCAAGGACAAACAAAAGCACTCGCTCTGATGCTGGCTGGCCATTTGGTGTGTCGGATTTGGAGTTCCTAATCTGTCCCCTGCTGGTTAGGTTGGACCTGGTTGGACCTCAGTATCGCCGGGCGTTACACAGCGATCGAGGCTTAGGTGTGACGATCTACGATTCTAATCTGCCGTGCCCTCGACCGAAGAGATCTTGTTTATGGGTTGCTCGTTCCGATGGATGGTTTCTGGCCTGAATGAGATCCTGTTTAGTTTGGAGACCTGAGTTTACCCTGGTATAGTTGTTGTTGCCAGCGCCACCACCAAGTTTGGCGTAATAACGATTGGAATACCGAGCACCTCGTAGACATGCAGGAGGGGGGAATAGCGAAAAGGACCAGGGAGTGACGGATTGGTCTAGGCTCCACGTTGAGAGTCGTGGTCGACTGCCTGGCAACCTGAAAAATAAAATCCATCTAGGAAGCCCGTGCTGACCCTTGCGAGAATCGGGAGCTTAGAGGGCAGGCGGCTGTTGCGCCTTTGGGATCGACAGAGTCCTAGCCGTGCAATAGAGCCAGATGGAGGGCTGTGATTGAGAAATCACCCTTAAGGATTCGTAGGCATAGAGGTGTGGGTTCCGACCACCCATGTTCTGCAAATTCGGCGGAGGCACTGGGGTGTTAGTGTCGTTAGCATGACTTTTCAGGTCGTTCACAATCAGCGTTGACTTTGGCGTTTCTCAGTCAGGTAAGCAGTCTCTATTTCGATCTCGACATGGCATATTGCTCGGGTGTTGCATATGCACGAACAAACCAAGCACAAGGAGGCAGAGAATCAGGGTTGATGGCTCAAAGACACGGTTGGGCAAAACGGCTGCTGAATCTTCAGCCAGCCACCTCGCACGGGACTGTCGTATTGTACTCGGTAGGCTGGGCACCAATCCTGGGGGCAGCAGGCAGGGAGTGCTGTATTGTTCTGATTTGGTCATGGTGCACAACAACCCGCCGCAGTACCTCGTAGGCTCCGTGGAGACGGATTTCGCTAGAGTAATGGGTTCACTATCGAGAAAGGACCATGCAGGCGACATGTCGGGGGCACGTCCTCGCCAGCGAAAGGCGCCTGCAGCATGAAAAATGCCAGCTCGCTTGAAAGCATGGATGGGACCACCATGACTCTGAGAAGGGTCCTTCCGCCTTCCAGCAGACTTTCCATCTCGGCGCTTCAACCGTGAGGAATGGATTTGACATGAGCTGTGTCCGGCGTGGTCAGAACAGGAATATGACCAGGGTTTCAGCTCACGCTACGGAGTACCCATCTTGGTGCCCATGGCGCCCATGGTTCCATTCTGCGCATCGCCGATCAGTAAGTAGGAGCGAAACGGTGGCCTTGGGAAGCTCGAACATGGCTCTCTGACTGTGCATCCTTGGCACCTGAGCCACCAGCTTCTCATCAAGAAATGTGTTTGTCACTGCATCGCTCTGCTTTAGTGCCTAGCTTAAGCGTCCTCCCTTGTAAAATGTAGGGAGTAGTTGTCGCTGACATTGGTTGCTTCATCATCGAAAAGAGAATACTCTGGACAAAAGCAGACCCACGGTCGCGTGTCTGCCCCCCCTCCGAATTTTCGTCCAATGTCCCAGCTCAGTAGATAGCAGAAACAAGTAGGGCATTCCTGGAAACTGGCAGGATACTTACTTGCAGGTCGAGTCTGAGTTTGCTAAGGGAAGCATGGCAATGGAGCGCCGAAAGTCAAGAGTCCATGGCCGCGCAGATCGAACCACAACTCCACGCCCTATCGGGATCAAGGTGTAAGTAGGGAAGGCTTGACGGGTTATCCACTTCAATTATTGCTCCCAACACTTCGTTTAGAAACTCTTTCTGTCTGGTTGAAGCTCAGCCCGCTCGCCGGCATCCAAGGCCGGGCTCGATCCAATTTTTGTCCATTCTATCGCTGCTTTGACACCCTTCACCGCCTTTTCTCTGCCACGGGCTGAGGTCCGTCAATGTCCGGAAAGATTGCGCATTGTCATTATCAAGAGCCCCAGTCCCAGGCAAGGACACTTCTTGAAGCCCGAGGGAAGCAGGGTTATTGTGCAGCTTGGGATACACGGGCGGTGGCGCGCCCCAGTGGTCCGGAATCAGGCCCTGATAGGGCTGAGATGGTGGATAGAAGATCAGCGCTCCCACAGTGGCTGACGCGTGCTCTGCTCGGGGCGCCAGGGTCGTCGGCGAATTGCATCTCATATTCTCATATTTGTCCCGTACATATTGTTGGGCGATGGCCCCAATGCTCTTTCAAGCCCACAGCACAGTCGGCAGAGAGCTTCGGCATCGAAATGTGAACCATCGGACAGTGATGCTTTGGGCACTGGCGAATACGAAGGGGATGAAGCTCTGGTTGAAAAGCCGCTCCCAGTTCTGGCCCCATCGCCCTTTGGCCGAGTCGGAACGAGTGAGCTCGGTCAAACCCCGGAAATGGCCGGTTTCGTCCAGCCTCGTGGACGGACAGTAAGACTCAACTGTGGCAAGTTGTTGAGACTGGACGATTCATGCTTCATGGTGTTAGGATGCACTCGACAACCGTTCTTTGAACGTGAGGATTATCGAGCAATAATTCTCAAGACTACCTGGATCTAAGGCTTGGTCTCAATTCCCTCTTTTCGAGCGAGCCTCATAGCCTTGGCGGAGGCAGAAGGAGCAAAGGCATTACTCTACGAGTCTCGGAAGGCCTAAGGTCGAGCGATGCTTGCTGGATCCGTGCGTTGAGGAGCCGTCACTGACGTCCTCGTTCACTATTCACTGTATCGGGGGATCAGAATTCCATCAACGTGTCGCACGAGAGACGAGCTCTCTGTCGCTTTTTGGCCGCACAGTCCGGAAGCATGTCTGCTGTATAGACGATTGAATCCGACCAAAGAAGGACTATCTCTCATCGATATAACCCCTGCCGACTAGTTAGGCGACGAGTGCTAGAAGGTACCTGCCCACTGAGACGTGCCTTGGAGGTACGTTACTTGAGGCAGGCGAGGCAAAACTTGTTGCGAAGGGAGTGTTCCTAGTCCTAATCGGCTTGTTGCTCTTACCGCACCACTTGTGCAAGCCGGATCTCGTCCTTAAACTCTTCACCACAACCAATTACGTCCCAGTCCCCAAATCGCCAAAGGAAGGCGTAGTGCTGGTCCGGTATCAGCAGACAAGGACAGCCTTTTCCACAAGCATATCAGTACCCAACGAATTCGTCGACATTCGTTCACTATGAATCGCTCCAACATTCTCGCTGAGGCCTCACCTCGAGACATGTACGGAGGTCAGCACTATGCTGCGAGAGCGCATTGGGGAAACCTGCTTTGACCATTCTATTTCCCTATTAGTCACGTGGAAAGATCCGGCAGGCATTTTGAAATCGAGCAGCGAGCGACCACATCCTCAATTACACATTCCACAACCACAGCCCTGTGACGGAGGACGAAAACAAGATCTTTGTTCGATTATCCTTGCACTCCGAACAATTCCAATGACCCTACTCTCCAGACTGAGATAACGTGATACTAGGTTGACGCCAGGACTAATATACGAGTCCGATGGAGCACAGCAGTTAGTACCACGCGCGAATATGACAAGGCTGTCTTGAAGAGGGCCCTCACGCTTCGGCCAAGTCCTAGAACGCCTTATAAACTTGGTTCCGTGTCTGATATATCCGGTCGCTCGATGCCTTCTGAGGGTCTCTCTGTTAGATTGCGGTCGGAGGGTCGGAGGCGGCTTTGCGACAACCGGGATACTGGCAATGGTAATAAGCATTAATTAGGTTTTTCGTTCGACCGAATCCGCTCGTGAACTAGTCCGAAGGCGGTTACGACTTGCAACATAGCCGTCCAATCCTCCGTATAAAATACGAATCGAAGTTAGTGCCTTTCCGCTCCCTGCGCACCTATTGGCAAACAGGACTGACTAGACCTCACTTGTTTGAACCAAAGGTTCCCGGAAACCCACATGACATGATGTCTGAGAAGCATTTATAGTGAGTCCGAGCACCGACTTGCCAGCTTTTTGCTCATCATACCTTTTTTTGTCGGTTTAGAGTCCTGAGTTATTCGCTCTTCTCATCATGGTCACGTTGGATGTCGTCCGCAGCTTGGAAGTGTCCTTGGTCCAGCGTCAGCCTTTGGTGGCCGTTTTCTTTGGTGGAACCGGTGGTATAGGGCAATTTACACTTCACGCATTAGCCGCTGCTGAGGCAAACGGAGGCAAAGGGCTCCGGGCATACATTGTCGGGAGAAACACAAAAGCAGCGGAAGCCATTCTCGCCGACTGTCGCGGCATCTACCCGCAGGGTCAGTTCAAGTTCATCAAGGCTGAAGACCTTTCTTTGATCCGGGATGTCGACCGGCTTTGCGCAGAGATCATTCAGCTGGAGGAAAAGGAAAGTCAGGAGCCGAGGATCGACTATCTCATGGTGTCTCAAGGTGGGATGATCTATCTTCCACGGAAAGGTAATATCCGCAATGCCAAAGGATATAGCTGCACTTCTGATGACCGCACAGATACGAAAGAGGGAATTGACGTGACGATGTCGCTCATGTACTACTCCCGCATGAGGATAATCACCAAGCTGCTCCCATTGCTTCTCAATTCTCGTCTTCCCGCAACGGTCGTCTCGGTCTATGCAGCAGGGATTGAAGGGAAATTATATCCGGAAGACCTGTCACTTCGCGATCTGAAGCGATACGCTTACAACCAAGCCAGATCGCACATGTGCTACATGCACGTCCTGTTCATGGAGACCTTGGCCCAACAGCACCCGGGCAAGCTCGCCCTGATCCACATCTTCCCGGGCGTGGTCGTGGGACCGGGCTACCACAGCCCAGAGCTACCAAAATGGTTCAGGATACTGTTTCACTGGTTTCTCTTGCCCCTCTTCGGGCGGCTCCTGACCGTGCCGCCGGCCGAGTGTGGAGAGAGGATGCTGTCCCTCGCGTCAGATCGCTATCCGCCGCGACCGGCCGACAGTTCCCAACGTGGTCGTGGTCGGGACCGGGGGGCCGTCGTTGGGACTGAAGGGACGCCGGGCAGCGGAGTCTACTCTCTCACTTGGAACGGCGAGAACAACCTCAACGCAAAAGCGTACGAGAAGATAAACAAGGAGGAAATGAGGAAGAAAGTGTGGGATCATACCGTGAGATGTTTTGGGGTCGTTGAAGCAGGGAACGTCTTTACTGAGTGAGGGTGGAAAAGAGCAACTTGTAAAAACTATGCAACAGATTCAGATTGAACGCTTCTAGGGAAATCGGTATCTATACCCATCGATAAAGTGGAAGTTCGTTCAACAGCTGCCCATCTGCGACGGCGTATTAACCCCTAGCGAGTTCCAGCTACATTCATCCTTCCCACCACTTCGAGCTCAATGCTGTTTTCCAACTCCTCAGCCTAGGGCTCCGACCGCCGGAACCGCAGCTGGGGTATGTGCATGCCCGTTCTGGGTCGTGGGTTTCAACTCGCAATAGATCTTGGTCGCTCTTTGCTTGGCCTCTCCAAAAGGTTTGATCTTCTTCGTGGTGCCGTCGACCTCGACATCTTCCTCGTAGTCACCCGTGTTGAACTCGCAAACGATGGTGCTTTTGAACGGCGGCGGAGGCTGAGACCACACTTTGTTGACGGCGTCGGCGAGACATTCGATTTGGATGGCGCGGAACCCCTGCTCGGCCGCATAGCGCATCAGGAATTGAGCCAGCGCCTTCATGATCCCCTTGCCTTCGGCGTCGTGTCGGGTGCTGGTCGCGTTGCGCATCAGGACCTGTTTCTCGGCCGTGGGCTTCCAGCTCGCCTCGTCGCGAGGATCGGATGACCCGAGCACATGGTAGATTGTTCCAAATAGGGGGAGGCACTCGACCAAGGGCCCTATTTTCTCCATATCCAATTCGTTGAACGCGTCATATGCCAAAGCAACACTGACGAGCGGAAAGTCCATCTGGTCCTGGAGCTGATCTTTGTCCAGGGTCGTGTCCTTCATGTCCCAGTAAAGCTTCCCGTTCGGCTTCGACTCCTCACGCTTGAACTGATACTCTAAATCGAAGACACCGAAACTGTGGCCCGAGTTGATTTGATGCCGGACCAGGTAGTCAGCGGCCTTGTAGCCCTGGTAGATCCGTGCCGTCTTCTCTTCCGGGTAACACACTGGCCAAACTGGGGAATAGAACATATTCGAGTGGAGCACAACTGCCGCGGCCATCGGGAGATGCTCTTCTGTCAGTCTCCGAATTTCATAGCGACGAGGGAGGTTTGTCGGGTTGGTAGCGGTTGCGGCTGATAGATTCGTCATCTTGAAGACACGACTTTCTCTTAGTATGGGAGAAACGGGGGACGATCGAGGAGATGATGGTCTGAACTGTGAGAGAAAGTGCCAACTGAGGAGAGAATCCGACTCTACATATAGAGTTGGATGTTGGCCACAGGAGAAGAATTATGCTCCAGCCCTGAGTTAAAATCAGCTTACCTCAACGTCGTACCTACACGAAGTGAATCTGAATCTGTATGGACGCCTAGCTCAAAATGAATGCAACGCAGCGTGGTATACATAGGTCCCTTATCTTGATCCTTTTGCCTTTGGAGGCCGCAATCTGACACCCGCGTGACGGACCATGCTGTTTATTGGGCGCAAGGTGACATTCTAGGCTATCGTGGATACGCCCGAGATAGACCATGTCAGCACAACTTGGGAGCCCTTTCTTTGTCACTTTTCAGGCTTCCCGTTCTCGGCGCGGGGGAGAGCAATATAGCCACCGCCTTGTTTGATGACATCCATATGATGTTTCCAGGTTGATAGGATGTAGCCATCAGCTGGTTGGACCTATCATGCGCGCCACAGAGAAATTGACCCATACAATCCGAATGTTGAAGCAGAAGAATCGAGCGGAGATATATTAGTAGCTTGTTGCCACGATGAAAGTGGGAAAGCGTGGTAAGCAAATACACCGGAAGTATTACCAGTGCGCATCTTACTCGCATCTGCAGGAACGCGCAATTCGGTGCTCAATCGGTGCCCAGAACGCCACGCCAATACGCCTCCCAAATTTAGGCAATTTCGACAGTTTAGGGTTCCTACGGTGAAGCATATTAGTACTAGGTACCTTAGTGTTCGTATTCGTGTAGCCTGATGCAACGCATCGTACATTGACCGACCATCTTGAGCATCTTCGCTCGTGTTGATCGCAGTCTCACGCACCAGTCAAAGTCTGCAGTCAGCCTTGAACGTTCTGTCTTAGAAAGTCTTCCGTCTCTGACCCTGAGGAGCTGCTAGAGCTGCCTGAAGCGTGCATCGGCCCCCCTCCCGAGTAAGCTCATCGATCCGGGGACGAGCGAATGATTCAGTCAATCCACCAGTCTATCAGTCCGTCAGTCGCTCCATCGACCCACAAGAGTTGAGCCGAATGATTCGAAATGTTCAAAGGCCATGCAAACCATCGGGAAGAGGCTGGTCCCGGCACCAGCGCGCAGTCTTCACGGCGCGAGTCCAGCCAACTTCAATTTCCTAGGGATGACACCTTTGAGAATGTGCGGCTCTTTGCTCAATCCCATGGACTCGCACGGCATCTGGATAGCTTCCACAAAGCCGCCGTCGTACTCCAAGGCCAAACCACTTTAGACGAGATCCCGCTCTCCACGTCAGAGCTAAAAGCTTTGCGCGATGAGACGGAGCGAAAATGGCGGCAACCAAAGATGCTGTATTTCACCATCTTGGTGTGTTCAGTCGGTGCCATAGAACAGGGCTGGGCACAGACGGGCATGAATGGTGCCAACCTGGATTTCCCAAAGGCGTTTGGTGTCGGCTCGAATAGTAAACATGACACGTTAATTGTTGGCTTGATCAACAGCGGCATCTATCTCAGCACAGGAGTCCTGTGAGTTTGCCTGTCGTGGTCATCTGATTGACTTCCTGCCTTCTAATGCTCACAGAGGTGCCTGGCTCTCGGATCCGGTCAACAACTGGCTTGGCCGTCGTGGTGCGGTCTTTGTAGGAAGCATTCTCTGCTTCCTTGCCAACCTTGGGTCGTCTCTGAGCAAGACTTGGCCGCAGTTGTTGATTTTCCGCTTCATCCTGGGTGGTGGCTTGGGGATTAATGCTAGCACCGTCTCTGTGTATGCCGCTGAATGTGCCCCCACTGTGAGTTTCCCCCAGTCTCTGAAGGATACATAAACCTTGAGGCGGCGCCCACTGGTCCCTAGCCTCTCCCGTCGTCGTTGTAGACTAACACCTACGAAGGGGATCCGCGGCGGTTTGGCCGTGTCCTGGCAGATGTGGACGGCTTTTGGAATATTCTTGGGGTTCGTCGCCAATGCTGCAGTTTACAGCGTATGTTCCATGCTTCTGGTGCTCAATGGATAACAGAGAGAGGCTGATTTCACCCACTAGTATGGCGACGACTCCTGGAGACTCCAACTGGCGGGTCCTTTCATCCCAATCATACCTCTATTGCTGATGTTGTACATGTGTCCTGAATCGCCAGCATGGTACTTGAAACACGGAGACCGATATGATCTCGCATTCCAGTCGCTCTGCAGGTTGCGGAACAGCGGGCTGCTGGCAGCAAAAGAGCTGTACTCCTCGCATCTACAGAGGACAGCGAGATTGAAGATGATGGACCAGGAACAGATCTCCTTCTCCAGGAAGGTTTTGGATTTGTTCAGTGTGCCTCGCATCAGGCGAGCTACTACCGCATCCTACGTTGTGATGCTCTCTCAGCAGCTGTGTGGCATCAATATCATAGCCTTTTATTCGTCAACGATCTTCTCGGACGCAGGATTCTCCGACTTCGGTGCCTTGGTGGCATCCTGCGTATTCGGGTTCATCAATTTTCTCGGAGCTTTCCCGGCGATATGGACCATGGACACCCTGGGGAGAAGGTCGCTTCTCCTTCTGACCTTACCACCCATGGCAGTAACCATGCTCGCGGCGGGATTGAGTTTCAACATTTCTGCCGACAATCCTGTGCACTTTGGACTACTTGCCACCTTGATCTATGTCTTCTGTGCCTTGTATTCGCCGGGGATGGGGCCGGTTCCGAACATCTATTCAGCAGAAGTCTTCCCACTGTCACATCGTGAGATTGGCATGAGTTTCGCGGTGGCGACAGCGAACTTCTGGGCGGCCATCTTATCTTTGACATTCCCGCGGATCCTCACAGCTCTCACGTCTCAAGGAGCCTTTACTTTATACGCAGGACTGAATATTGTGGCGGTGGTTCTAGTCTTCCTCTTCCTACCAGAGACTCGCTTGAAGACCCTCGACGAACTGGACGACGTCTTTTCCGTTCCTACGAGGACATTTGTGGGGTATCAGACGACCGAGTTCTTACCCTGGTTTGTGAAACGATACGTTATGCGAAACAAGGAAGCTGACCTTCCCCCACTGGGCTTCGATGAAGAGTATCAGGAGCTTGAACAAGACGAAGACGACCAAGAGATATAGCGCAAGCCCCGGCTACAATGGGACACTACAAGACATTACATGGCCATACCGTGTCGAAATCCCAGTTGAGGCGGAGGTTGCTCTGCTCGGGTTCATCTCCGATAAGCAATGCTCCGCCGTAGCAGACGCACTGCTAGCGGTGGCTTTTTTTGGCAAGCTGCTACTTTCTTCTTTTGGCTCGACGTCGTCGGCCTCCTCCGACCAGCTTGGGACCTAGCGGCAGCATATTTATTCATCTCGTCTGCATCGCTGAGACTCTGCGTCGCAACATATCTTCCCGCCCCATACTCCGTGCTGCACAATGGCCTCTCCCATCACCTGCCATGTTCTCAACACCCTGTCCGGAACTCCTGCGTCCGGCCTCAAAGCGACATTGACACTTCTCTCGCCCGACGGCAGCACATCTGCCCAGCCTACAGTCAGCTTCGCTGCCGTCACAAATGAAGACGGGCGTGTCAAAGATTGGGAGCAATCTGCCGGCAGGAGTGTGTCGGATGTTATGGAAAGGTACAGCCACGGAGAGCGAATCGCTTGGAGCATCAAGTTCGAGGTCGGTGCGTGGTATGAAGAGAAGGGCATCGAAAGCTTCTGGCCCGAGGTCGAAGTGAAATTCTATGTTAAAAAGGGCGAGCGGCATTACCATGTGCCCGTATTGGTCGGACCTTGGACCTACACGACCTACAGAGGATCTTGAGGTGCATCTCCCGACGCAGGATGCTTTGTTTGTCGCACCGCTAAACGGCCTCCTCCACCACAACCCCGGTTTTCTACTTGAGGTACAGCAATCGCCAACGCTGTGTACCGCTCGAGAATCGAACGCTCTGCATTAGACTCTGTGGCGCCAATGAACCTAGGGCGTTTTGCATGTTTGCGACGCAAGGGCTAAAAAACCTAGAGCTGCCACGCATCTCTAGTTCCACCGTACCCGCATATACATACTCCGTACAAGGCTTCCCAAAACGCTAACCGACCTGCAAGACTCTGACGAATCCGATTTCCATTCCTCCATGCTCGAAAATACGCACCCACAATTCCCCAGTTCTCATTCAGAGCGCTCGCTCATCTAGGCAATCAGCACGGCAGCTTGCCAGTGCATGACTTGGAATCTCTGACTGGACCATTTTGTGGTCCTCGTGACACCCAGCAGACCAGCAGCGGGCCCTTCGGCTTTTGGAGAGTCGAGAATGGTGGTTGACCGAGAGGTCATGTGGCCTTTTCGGATGATGAAAAACTTTTTGCAGCAAGACGCTTTCCCGCCCATTGTGACGAATGGTCACCGAGAACGCTTGTAATGAGATGCAGAAGCGTGTGAGGGGTTGTGCCTCCGGCTGACACCGATGGTGACGATTTCGTTGATGTCGCAGTCCTCGTCATCGGTGCCGCTGCTGGCCCTGTTGGACATGCGCATGGTCTGCTGCCTCTCATACTGCTCGGATTGCCTTTTGAGGTCCTCTATTTGCTCCTGTGGACTGCCGTGAGAGGCTTGCTTCCGGTTGATGCTTCGGTCGAGGCTTACCTTGGTCAGCTCGGGGCCATTGATGAGGAATCCCTCTCGACCCTAATTTCCCGGTCAGCTTGTGCCCTGTGGTCCACGGAAGAAACGCTCATACACGATATGAATACGGCCTCACGGTGGCAGAGGGGCCTAAGAAGTATTGCAATTGTCGAAGCACAATATGGCGAGACAGGCCATAGCCCGATATCCAGTAATCCCGGGGTGGGCTTGTTGGCTGAGGCATTTCTGGTGTGAAGACGGTGGTTGCAGTGGTGCAGAACAGACACAAGATGTATATAGGTTTGGACAGAGGAAGTCGATAAAAGGGATGAACTCGAAACCGAGGCCACCGGACCTATCTAGATATTGGTTGTGAATGTATTGCCATGGTAGAGACGAGAATACAGTCGATGGCGAGAGCCTCGAACAAGATATAAGGCTTTCGGAAGAGGGGATACTAACAAGCACCTATCCAATAGCTGTTGTGTAGAGACATGAACACGGAGATTGGTTCCCCCAGCATTTTTCTGCTGGGACGCATTGGGAGGCAGAATTCCAATCCAGCTTGTCATGCAACTCATGCAGCGCTGGGACTAATGGCAACCGAATGGCCGCCTCGCATTCGAGCAAATGGATGAAGTCTTTGTCGCCTGCTGCCAGCCAGCCAATCACAGCCGACGCCTTCCTTCGCAGCTTCAAGGTGCGTCGCCTCACTTTGACCTCCTCTCGATCCAACTGCCACCCATCGGTCTCCAGCGCCGCTTCGTCGACTCACCACCACTCTCACCATTGCCCACCACTCTTCTCCCTCTGGTCCCTACTCTCCCAGATCACGCTATCGAGGCGCTCGCTCAACCTTAATCTGTACCTGCTGAGGCTGCAGAAACACGCCAATTCCTGCACACGTGTCCCGGGGCACGCCTTCGGGCTTTCAAGAGAAGGGGGGGCCCGCAAGGGGCGTTGCCTGCCTGTGCTGGCTTGGTGGCGAACAAAATGAGAGCCGCTGCCAGTGGCACCATATCCGATCGACAATAACTCTTTCATGCCTCCCTCTGGGGCCCAAGTGCTGGCCAGGCAGTACCCGCCAGCTGTCTTAGAGACACACAGAAAGAAAGATCCGAACAACGATCAGCAATGCACACAATTCAAAACTTAGCAGCCGGCGGCACCAGCGGAGGCGGCCTTGACTGAGCCCATAAGCCCTCAAGCCCTCAAGCCCTGAGCCTCGGCGTCGGCGTCAACCCCCTTTCTGCCCCTTCTGCAGTGGCTCAGAGTTTCCACAGGCAATAGTCTCATTGCAACTTTCTGCACCATGCAATGTTATGCGGGACTACCTATGCAAGCAAAGCTCTTTTCTCACACCGCTCCGTCCCCTCGACCTCCAGGCGCAAAAACCGCCCTCCGAATCCAGAGTCGATTCACCTTTGCACACGTGGAACATGGTAACGGCCTGGTCCACCTTTCCTAGAATGTCTGGGTGCTGTGGCGGAGTTTCATTTCTCGTATCACCTTTTGTTTCCACAAATTCATCTGACCGGTGCACGCCAGGCCCAATAGCCCTTGAGGCTTTTCAGAAAATGCACCCTTTCTCGAGCCTCTCACGAATCGCCGAAGCGATGCAAAATGCATCCTTTTAATCCAAGTGGATATTATTATTATTGCCTGCAAGCATTCCTAACACCACTCAATCCGCTGAATATTGGGGCCAGCCAAGCTTGATTGGTAGCATTTCTGACTTACCGTTGTCAGAAGGCCCCCGAGGTTTTCAACTGCTCCCAGCTCCAAGCTGTTGGTCTGCTCGATCAGACCGTCAATTTTCATCTTAAAACGTACACCCATCAAGTGATGGCAGCTGCTGTCTGAGAACTGGCCCAATCAATCACCAAGACCCAACACACGAAACCTGTTCACGGGGAAACAAAGTGCCATGGTACGTCATTTCTGGCGCGCCACCAACTGGTTTGTGCCCTGAAACTCGGTACGTGGGAATTGGGCCCGAGTAATCGCGCTCCCTCTGCGGGGTGTCCAATCCTGTCGCTGCGACAACGCTCCCTGAAGCCACTGGCCGTCTGCCATGACCACAGATCAACCCAGGGAAGTCTGAACACCGGTCCAATCAAGAACTGCAAGGCTCCCTTTCTGGCCGATCCCCACCGAATTGAGAACAAGCTTAGTCTAGGAGCTTCTATCGTTGGCCCAAATTCGGTTGAAGGACACAGACTTGATATCGCACATTATCGATCTAACCAACTGCCGAATTGTCGCGTCGAAGTTCGTAGGGAGGGTGATCTTATCTTCGAACAGTCTCGCCCTTCGGCTGCCCGACAGTCATCCTCCATTCAAGGTCGACAACGCCCGTGCATATTCCCCCAGCAGGGAATTCCCCCTCCAAAACATCTTTGGCGATTACGGCGATCACTTCCGCCATCATAACCGATACCTACGTTCTGGAGATATGAGTGTGACACTCTGCATGAGCTTGTTGCACCCGAGGTGCGAATCTACCCGCTCCTACCCGCACCCTGCGTCTCCGGCGTGTCACCTCGGACAAATTGCCGACGACAATGCTAACTTCCCGCCCAACTCAGATTTGTGGATGTCTGAGTTCTGCCCCCTTATAATATCAGCCTGACTAGTCCCTGTCACAATGCCTCACTCTCTCCTGATCGTCCCTTGATCGACCACGGTTTGCGTGAAATGTATGGGGCTTTCAGCCAACTAACCTAGACGTCTTCTACCCTCCTGAGTGACCTCGACATTGATGGAAGGGGGGGATGAGTGGACATGAACACTTCTACTATCCACGATTAACATCCAGAAGTCAGAGTCAGACCACCTTTCCAAGGTTTGAGGGAAGTAACGGATTTGCGACGGCAAACCCCCTTCAGCTTCAATTTCCTATCTTGTCAGGCAAACTGTGGCACCGTATCAGTCTCTGTGGACCTACCGATCTCAACTTACTCGTACTGGGGGACTTGAGACCTGGAAGAGCTTTGTGGTTACTGCAATCACTACTCAAATTGAGGCCGTGAATGCTCACAACAGCTGGTCCTCGAAGTTAATGGTTTGTTGAGCTTGAACTTAAACGACCTCTTGAACAACATGCTTGGGAAGTCGATCTCCGCGTGTAGGTGTGTGGCTGTACCTGTGGGCCCCAGGTTAACTGCTGTAATAGCAAGCCACCAACCCCGACGGACTAGCTAAGTCTTCTTGGCCACTATGCGCAGTGCCCTTTGTGTGCCCGGTTGCTACTCTCCGACAACACAGTACCACATCTGGCACCATGTCAGAAACAGGGTACCCCTGATTCAAGTTCCTAGTAGAGCTCGGACTGAACATGTACTTGTCTGGCACTGCACCTGGACTAACTCGATGACTTCCAGCCTCACTCTCTGCCATTCGTCTGCGAAGGTCCTATCGAACTACCAACATCGAGTGGCCATCCAACCAATCCTAGAAAATGGGGTTCTCATACCTGTCAAGTGTCGAGCCTGTCAAAGTGTCCATCCGCCCAGGAAGCCTCACTTTGAGGGTTCAGCACTTTAATGCCCACATGAAGCTGTGCTCAGGCTCTGGGCTGGCTCTGGGGATTCGGTTTCACCAAGGCATGGCATCAACGCTGGGAGGTAAGACCAAAGGGAAGCTGAGCCGTCACAAGCACCACGCGCATAAGGCAATCGTCGTAATTGGGGCACGGATGAGTGTTTGCGGTTGAGACAGAGCAGTGCACCATCGTAAATGGAGGCCACGAGCCGGCAAGTGCCTTGGAAAGCTTTCACACCCTTCACCACACTTCTTCACACTTCTTTCTCGGAAGTTCGACTGTCGATCTGCGTCTTTCTAACCTCTCCGAGTGCCAAACCGCCGCTTGAGCTCTCACAACCACTTCCTTATCCCTGAGTCCACAAACGAACCATTTTCCGTCGCCCAAGTAAAGGCAATATGCAATCTGTCCACAGCATTGACATCGCCCTGCTTTGCACCACGCTTCTCGGCGAATTCAGTTCTAGGTTTTGTCGACGGCAACGAGTCTACCTACGGCTTTGCCCCACAAAGACAATGCGAAGTGGTTGGGGCGCTGGAAGCTGAGCTCGAAAGAGGGCGAAAAGAGCAATCAGCTGGCTGACTTGAGTCTTCACCTGTCGCGTCACCTGGATTCTCGAGCTTTCTAATTAGGTGATTAGCCATCCCTGCCTGCCTTCACGGCCTCGGACGGACGAAGTTTTCTGTACATGTACACAAGTTACGTGAAATGCCATAGAGCAAATATCCTGCTCATGTATTCACGATGGGAGGCGAGCTCGTTGTTGCAGAGAAGACCGGTCCCGAAAGCACAAGGCGACCCTTGCTGATTTGCGTTTGCACAGTGAGAGAAACCAGCAGACCAACCTCCAACCCACGAAACCCTGACGTACACACCATCCATCCACCTTTCCACTCACTCCTCTTCTCTCTCTCGGTCTCCATCCGTCCAATCCAGTAAACAACATTCAAAGACGCAGAAACCGGGGGAAGGGGAACAGGAATTGGAAAAGAACACGACAGGCCTGCCAGTCAGGGACGCAGGAACGAAAGTTTCTTACTCCATATGTACGTATCCCAGGACTAGAAATATAAAGATACGACTCAATCGTGTGTGAGTTGATTGACTTGGTAAGATTTGGAGCTTTTCGCTTGACTACGAGAGAACCAGGTTGCGTTCTGGTGGTGAAACACCTAGGAGAACTACGTGCCTCCGCTCACACAACGGGGTTTTTTTTTTTAAAAAAAAAAAAGAGGTTGCAAGTGAGTGCATGCAATATTGCAGTATTCCAGTATTGCAATCAGTCAATCAGTCAATCAGTCAATGTTCAATGAATGAATGAATGTCTTATTTCAGCGCCGCCGGGGGTCTAGGTCCCTTCGCTCCCTCCCATTCCCATTTCCCATCCTTTCCTCTCCCAAAAAACATCCCACCTTCAAATCCTGCCTGCCTTCTCAGCTTGGCTTGGCTTGGCTTGGCTTGTCTTGTCTTGTTGACCTTCCTTGGCTCATTGCCATTGTCTTCTTCGCTTCGCTTCTCTGCGGGGGGGGTTTTTTTTGGCCCCTTCCTTCCTTCGCGGCCAGAAGGGCAGGGGGCGGAGAGAGGTGCATGTGTGAGGCTGAGCAAGAGAGTTCCAAGCAGCAAAAAAACAAAAGTCCCTAGTTTCTCATCTCATCCCATTGAACCTGCAGGGCAGGCACCCTTGGGCACCCTCTCGGCGCCGACGCTCGTTCCCAAAAAGAAGGTCATTCAAAGGAATGAATGTACAGCAAAAAATGATTGGCATAAAAACCCCCTGATCCATCGCAAAGCATGACATGCATGATCAAAATACATACGCTACCCATCCCGAAGCAGTCCCCTGTTGCCGATCCCCAAGATTTTCCAGCCCTTTGGTGTGTATACATCGATCGTCCCAGGTCGTTCTTCATCAAATGACTAGAATACATTTACATATGCAAGTTGTTGTTCAAAAGATCGACGGCGACATCACGGCCCTGTCGAACTTGTCGACGTTTTTATTCCTTCCGGATCCATGATTGTCTCAAATGGTGAAGAAATCCTGCGCCGAAGGATCCAGCCCCATGTCCATTCGGCCATAGTCGAGAAAGTTGTCAAATTCAATCATTTCATGCTGCTCCATCTTGATGGGCAGCTGCGGCGAATGGGTGACTGGGGAAGGATCGGTAGACAGATCGGAGAAATCAAAAGCCACAATGTCAGCGGCGGGTGATGAGCATGAGTGTGAAAGACTAGGCAGACTGTGCCCTGAGGAGACGTTCACGGTAGTGCCCAGTATTGGCAAACCATCGTCCATGGACGGAAGAGCGGGTAGCATTTGTGATCCGTCACTGTGTTGGAGCTCTGAAATCTCGGCTAACTCCGCCGGTGTCAACTCGCGGTAGACAGGGCTGGGCTTGTTACCCGTAGAATATCCTGGGCTGTGTGGTGGCGTGAAGGAGAATGTGTCAGGAGGAAAGCTCGTCATCTGATCCATGCTCAAGAGATTGTGCTGTGGCATGCCAAATTGGGCCATGCTTTCAAAAGGTGACGAGCCACGAATGCTCAGATTGTCCATCGTCTCGGTTGGTGGGGATCCCCAGCTTGACATGGAACAGCTCGATGCCGAGGACGTATAAGGATCATGGGGTTGCTCAGTGGTCCCCTGCCTGGTTCGGTTGGCTTTCTCAACACGTTCGTCCAGCTCTGGTCGGGGCTTTCTGGGTCTACCTCGTTTCATCACCTTCCTGACAACACCGGCAAACGCCCCAGCGCACATTCCTCTTTGGCGGTGCCTGGTCAATGCGTCGTGGCGAGCGAATGAATTTCCACAGGGACAGGGATAGGGTTTTGTCCCAGTATGGATCTTGGCGTGGCGTTTGAGGTCGTGACCCCGAACAAAACATTTCTTGCAGTGGTCACATCGGAACTGACGATCACCCAGATGGGTTTGGATATGTGATTTGATGTTTTCCTTCCGGCCGAATTTTTTGTTGCAATCCTCATACTTGCAGACCCATTTGTTGTCCGCTGGATCTGGGCCTTCGATGAACTGTGCAATGTCATCAAGCGTAATGTTGGTTTCCTCGATCGACGCCTCAATGCCGGGCTCTAGATTGAGATTCGAGATTGACATACGTCGCTGTGAAAGGGCCGGCCTTCCTGGCGAAGCGCTGCCAGCAGGTGCCTTCTTGGTCGAAAGAACCGGCACAGATGTGTCTTCGAGCTTGGATACTTGGGTCTCGACTCTATCCATCTCCCCTGTGGCCGATTCGACCTTGACCTCCGTTGACTCTGCTTGCTGGACTGCTGGGGGGGTCTGAGCTCGTCTTTGGGGTTCGGGTACGGGCATTTCAGCCATTTCAAATGAAGGTCTGGTTGGCGTCGCGCCGAACTCGGTTCTCAGTTCTTCGTGTTCTATGATTCCTTGCAAAGACTTGCCTCGTGTCATGGGCACTGGGTAGGGTGACTGGAGGGCAGGTGATGCTTGTAATGAACGTGAGTATTGAATCGCGGTATTATGTTGACTAAAGGGGGGTGTGAGAGGGAATTGTGCTGATGGACCATTAGATACATTCCCGAAATCTTCCAGATCTAGACAGAACTCACCAGACTGTATTTGATGTGAAGGTGTATGAGGTCGCAACTGGGTCTGGATCCGCAGATCTGGTTGCGACATTCTCCGGTTGTCAAAGGAGATACCGACACTTGGTGGAAATTGGAGTGCTTGAGCCTCATGGAAATACTGTAAGCTGTTCTCGTCCATGAGTCCCGCTGGCACTCCATTCTGCATCGACATGTTCATGTCGGTGAAGTATTGTTGCGAATGCGCAAAGGTCATGCCTGGAGAGCTCTGCTGCATGATTGCATTCATTCTCATGTTGTTGTACGGCGACGCTGGCATTGAAGTGGTCGCCGGGAACATACCACAACCTGGAGAGATTGGGATGTCCATGTGCATATTTGGCTGCTGCTGGCCCGGTCTTGCTATTCGTTGCTGCTGCGCTTCCCGCAAAATCTGTTGTCCGTGGATTGATCCTAGGTTAGTCATACTTACCGTGCTGCCTTGTTGGTGCTTCCGTATGGGGCTTCGTTGGAGGTCGAAAGACTGGCCCCGTCTATGGAGATTGTGGCGTGGTTGTTGAGGCATGCTGGCAGAGACCTTCATGGCTTCGAAGGCTACAACGGGTGTCGAGTTTTGTCTCCGATGTAGCCTCTGTCGTTGCTGAAGAGATGAAGGTTGGTTGGACATCATCTTAGGCGAGATGAGTTCGAAATGGGTGGCTTGTCGAAGGGTTGTCGTGGTACTTGTTGTCCAGGAAAGGATCCTTCAATGGTTCGAGACTGCAGGAGCACCGCTCGTTAGCACCTCGAACAACCTCTTGAAGGCATATCTCCAGAGCCAACTCACCTCACGCAGCGCAAGGGGCTGCGGACCGGGCAGCGGTCTTGTGTTATGCTTCTTTCACCAGTCGCAGACGATTGTGTGCGACTGTTCTTTTTTCAGAGAAGGGGCCCTCTCAGGGCAGATATATTGGAATGATCAGAACTGGGTCCTGAGAGGCTTCTCGATTGACTCTTTTGTAGGCCTTTGGGGTTCTCGAAGAGGGAGAGATCGGTTCAGAGGGTAGGTATGGGAGGTCTGGAGGATGAAGAGGAGGATAAGATGGTACCTGCAAAGTTGGAGGGATGAATGAGTATTGACCTGCACTGGTGACAGTCGGTGATCTCACTGGTCGTCACTTCGGAAGTGGCGGCTGCGTAAACAGGCCTGTTGCACAGCAACAGAGGCACAAACGCCTGCTTGGCGCCTCTTTGAACATGTGATTTTGTCCGTCTCGCCGTGTCCACCAGGGTTGCTTAGGTAATGCCTTCTTGGCGTTCTTGGCTGGCGACAAAGCCGAATTGAGACTTTGCCTAAAACAGAAGTCCCGCTACTAGCTCGCTGGGTATTAGAAAAGAGGTGGCCTTCGTTTTGTCAATGAGCATTCTGTTTATTTTCAAAATAGAAGTGCTCTACCCTCTCTTTGTGCTGTTAGCTCCTTTTTTATATAGCGGCCACTTCGTCGTTATCGAGACCTCTTTGGCTACATTGTACGCAGCGTGTATTCTGTGTTCCACAGTCACTTAGTTTTCAATTGGCCTCGTCCGCGGTGTCCGTACTTGTCCAAAATCTCAAGGCTCCAATGCTACTTGGTCGATCTCGAGAACTAAAGCGGGCATCAAATGTTCCAATAGCATACACCGGCTACACACGGGACTAATAGAACGAGACTGTCCTCTCCACCTAGAAGCATTTTGGTTCAACAGACAAGATCGGTACAACTTATCTCACATAGCGCACCAGAAGCGTCTCTTCGCTTGAAAATTGCTGTGTCGAAGAAGTTGCTGCGCCCATTCAACGTTGCTTAACGGGGTGTGTTAAATGGTGGTAAGAGGTTCTCGTTGATTCGTAGATATCAAGAAGGCAGCGAAGCTGTACTGCTCAGGTTGAAATGCGAAGCTCCACCGAATTCGCCGGCACCTGGGGGAAGAAATAGTCACGTTGGCAGGTCGGATATCCAATTCGAGGGTGGCCATGTGCATTGACCGCTTCGAGTGCTTGAAAACGAGCAGGCTGAGGTAAGGCGCAAAATGGTGCGCCAGGAGTGCTCAGGAGGTGGAAATGCACCAGGACTGATTGGGGGACATCATCCTGGCGGGTTAAAGGGCCAACGAGAGTCGGAACTTTGCGAGAGGGAAATATACCCCGTCGGACGCAACGCCTGTCCATGATACCTCTGCAGAAGCTGGACCCGAATATCTTTCTGAAAGCAATTTCTAGACATAGGTTGCCATGTATTCGAGGGAAGAGTGAAGAACCGATAATCGTCAAGCGGCCATTTGGGAGGCGAAAACGCGGGATCGACTAGAGAAAATTGACAATGCTAACCGGCTGGGAGAAGACTCGGTCGATGGTCATCAAGTCACCATCTATGTGGCGAAAATCCGGGACTGGCCAGGGGAAGAGTTGGCGAGGCTGACCAGCGGGGCGTCAAGTACACTGTTCAGAGGTGCGCGAGTCAACTAGAACATTGGTTTGAGCAATACTTACACCGTTTGAGTTTGTGATTTTGTATTTTCTTCTCTTTTCTTCTTTTCTTTCCTTTTTGGGGGGCCAAGGCCGTTTTACCTGGAATGCTCTTAAATGTGCCCATTTTAGTGTATTTTAACCCTCCCCCGTCATTCTTCTTCATCTTCTTCTTCGTCTTCTTCTTCGTCTTCTTCTTCGTC